TCCTCCTTTCTCTAGTCCTTTTATGCCAAAGAATTCTAAAAGGATTCTAAATCAGTGATTTATTTCTAATTAACCCTTAATAAGGGGCTTATTCTTTTTGATCTGAGCAAATACAGTCCCGTAAATCAAGCCTGAGAGATTTTCTTGAGTAAAGGGATAAAGCTAGTTTCACACTTGAGAGTCTTTTTTTTAAGCCACAAAAAAACAACAACAAAAGCCACAAGCCAAATCCCAAAGACTGTTGTTGTTGTTGTTGTTTGTTTGTTTTTAACCTGAAACTAGTGCCAGCTTAAATTAAACCAGCAGCTCTACCTGAAAGAATGACTTGTAAAAATCACAGCCATTAGATGATCTTTGAGGTCCCTCCAACTTAAGCCATTATATGATTCTCTGATTATGTTTTCTTACTTCATTTAAGTTGCTCAGTAGTTAGGACTGCTATGTGAGATATGCAGCATTTCTGAAGATGTGGATATTAGCCTATGAATTTTTTTTTTTTTTTTTTTTTTTTTTTTTTGCCACCCAGGAGAGTGTCATAAGCAGCAAGTAGTAAGAGATGCTTGAAAACAATAGACTCTTAAAATATTTTATCTGAAGTATAGATCAAGTGTCCCATTACACAATCTCTAGGTTCATTTCATCAATAATGTTGTGTCACAAAATGGAAAAAAAATTTCTAAGGGCTGTTTGGGGATTTGAGAGAGCTGGATTCTCAATTTTACTTTAGTAAGAGAGGATGCTGGCATAAAATACAAACTTGACTAAAACAAAATCTTCTTTCCTGGATGTTGGTTCTATTCCTGCATGCTGAGCTGATTTTCCAAGTTGGTGATTTAGACTTAAGAGTAAGAAAAGTAATTAATCTTGAATGTTCCAGGAAATTTTCAAGGAGTATAGTGTAGTATTTATTATTTCCGTGAACATTCTTACTATTCGATGAAATAAGGGTGTATAGCTGGCTGTGATAGTTATTTGTTTGAAAGGAAAATTAATGTTGATGAATGCTTGTTGCATATCAGAGATCGAATGTAACCTCTTTATCTTTAACTGAGAAAGACTGCCCTCTTTTGGATGTAATTAGAATTGGTTTAATTGCCAAGGCTACAACTGCTTGAAGATGCCCAGCTTTGTCTGTAGAAGCTGGTGAATTTCCATGGGTGAATGAGGTGGACACCACTTTGATATCAAAATCTATGTAGCTGTGGTTATCTATGACAGTTGTAGTCAACATCTTCAGCAGGAGATTAAGTTAGTTGCATATAAGCTTCGTATCATGCTATACATAATGTATGTAGTGTGTATATATCATATTAATGAGAAAGTGGGATTTCCTTATTTCTAATAATTTCCCCTTCATGTGAGATTATGCATGGCTGTAACTTAGCAGATTTTTGTTGTTCTGTTTTATTGGTTCAATTTTTTTTTTCATTAAGTATATAGAGTGCTTTAGTTACTTTTTTTACTTTCTAATTTTAAAGATCCTCTTTTCCATGTTTTGTGACTCCTTGCCCTAATGAAATGAATGCATAGTTTCATTTTCTGCATCATAAATTGATGACAGTAATGAAGCTTGATAGATGGGTGGCAAACCAGATGCCCGTGGCTTAAAAATAAGTTTCATGAAGGAAATAGTGAAAATTGTGAAGTCAGTCCAAGGTACATTTCTATCAAATACATACTCTAACTTGTAATAGTTTGAATGGCATTTGATGACCTACATTAAATGAATTGATTGCCATTCATTTTTGAAGGAGCAGGTGTTCCAAATTTCATCAGAAAGGCTGTGGATTTGTTCTGGACTCTCTAGCTACCAATTCAGAGCCTGGCACTAAAACACTCACAGGTCTGTGGGATCATAAATATATCTGCTTGACTAACGTAGAAGGACTATTTTTGTGCTTAACTATGCTGACAGGAAAAAAAAGAACTTGGATTTTGTACTTTAAAGTAGCATAGAACAACTCAAGTGAGTATTTAGGGTTTAGAGCCTAGAGGAAAGGTTTCTATTAGTTTAGTATATTCAAATGTGATTGTTTATAATGCAGTTGTGTTTTAAAGACTTCATAGAATTAGATCGTACTGTTCTAAGAGTTTGCACATCATCCACACCAAAGAACATTCAGTCTAGGTATAAAATGAGATGATTGATGGACATAGGCAGCATGCTGATGTAATGCTACAGCATTGGTCAGTATAACAGAGATAAACATTCCTGATCTATTTTAAATCCAGATAGGAAAAAACATCCTGACATGATGTTTTGACTTAAAAATGCCTGTGTTATGTGTACCATGTGCTTATGATGGTATTGGAATACTTGAGTTGTATTGACAATGCCAACTAAACACAGAAAATGTAGTCACCACCTTGCTAAATCATGTGTACTTTATTGCCTTGTTAGATAAAGCTGCCCCTTGGCAGCCTTTCCCATCATCATTGTTTTATTAATGAGTAGTTTTGCTTTGCATTTTGAAACAAGACATTCCTCTTCTGGCAGACTGTGCTTTCTGAGGATGCTAATGCAGATTGTATATGAAATGAGTGATGACTCTCAATGTGACAAAACACGTAAGTAATTTATGAATTATAAAGCCTCTTATAGGCTACTAAGCAAGCATATCCAACTGTGTGAGGATGAAATTATCATATCAGTTATGTATTTTTAAAAGAAATTAATTTCTTTTTTGCTTGCTTTTACGAAGCAGTCCACTCCAGGGTCTGTTTCATCACAAAATAGTGGCAGACAAATTTTGTTAGGTTGTTTCTGGTTTTCTCTTTCGTTTAGACCTCTCGGAAATCAGAGCTTCTTTTCCATTTTGACAGTGGACAAACTGTGAAGACTTTTTGATATGCTTCAGTGTAGGAAGTCTGTAGTTAAGAGATAAGTAGCAGTGATTATTGACTGACTTTTTTATTTTCAAGGACAAGATTAAAGACTGTGAAATATTGTTCCTTTCATTGATCCTTTGATGTTAATGGGCAAACACATACTGATTTCAGTAGGTCTAGATTGTTGCTCTGTCTGCATTTTTGAACAAATTTACTTTAGAACTTGATTTATGATAATTAACTTATTTCCAAAGACAATATCTAAGCCTTGCCCAGCTAGTATGACATTTTCATTTTTTTTTTCTTTATTTGTGAAATTAATCAATGTTTGAAGAAAAAGCATGACTGGAGGCAGCACAGCCAAAATTCTACTCAGCTGGAGATACCCCTGCCTTTACTTATTTATTTGTTTTAAGAGAGTCTCAGAAAATAAAAGCTTGGAAATACACTGCCTAAGTTAGTCAGCTTTGGGGAGTTTTTCAAAGACATAATACCCACCAAAATCTTTTGTTTATGGCAAATAGGTATACTAGAGACATCTTGTAACATCTTTGTGTATGTAGTCCAAGAATTCCAGTACAAAATAATTTTTTGTAGTATTTTTTCACTTGAATTTATAATTAGGTCAAGCAGAGTAAGAAAACAAGCAATAGACTTCATTGGAAACTTGCTTATGATTCTTTTTTTACATCCTTTGACACAAATTCTATACCAAGTGTTGGCTGGCCAAGTAAATGGAAGGAACATGTGTATAATAAACATTTTTTGTGGTGTTTTTTTTTTCCTCCTCTTCAAATTTGAAGTATATAGTATACAGTTCTTGCTTTTACTCTGAAAGAAAAATTTGAACAAGTGCGGAATAAGAAAGAATATAAGTTTATTTTACTGCCATACAACTATTCTTGATGTATCTTGGAAGATATTTCCCTTGACTGTTGCTACATTTCTGAGCTACTGCAGCGCTGCTTGCTTAAGAAGTGTGTGCTGAATCTAGGGAAATTTTGTTAGGTCATTTCAGCTTTTACTTCTGCTTTCCCTGAAGAACATTCATATTCATGCTTGGGGTCTGCTCTCTACTCCAGTGTTTGTTACAGTGCCATTTTTAATCCTCTTTCTTTCCTCAGCTTTCTGAGAAGTCCAGATCAGCCCTGTCCTGTCTCCTTTACCATGCAGTGGCCACTGTGACTCACTATTGATGCCTTAGCTTGTCACATTCACTTTTGAAATGACTTCAAGATATTTACAAAGTTTGGAAGAGGAGTTACTAGCTAACAGTAGGTTCTAATGACTACTAGCAGGATGTCATTAACGTGAATCTCTTTGAGATGGGAGAAAGGTAGAAAAAATGGAATGATGCAGTAATTGAAATCTCTGTGCTTGACTTGTGCACTTCTAGCAGTGTGCAATCCACAAGGTGAAGTGCAATGTGACTTTTTTTTTTTTTTTTTTTTTTTTTTGCAAGATCATCCTTGTAATAAGACATTATGTTTTCCGAAAGGACACCTTGAAATGGAGATACCCAAAGCTAGCCAGTTAGGTGTTTCCTGTTCTTGTGGGTGTTGAGTGCAAGGCATTTTAATGCTTTTGGAAAATGAAAGCATTCTAATCTATGTGATGAAAAAGCATGACTTAAGAGACCTTATTTTTTATTTTTATTGTGGTCAGCTCTATGCCTTTGCAAATCAAGCAGTTGCCTGCATACAGCAAAGCAGCCTTGATGGTGTCCTGAGGTGTCCTCGGGACTCCTTCCTGCTGGCTGGAACAGACTCGTTCTCTGCTCCCCTGCTGCTCAGAGGTCTGCAGTGCCAACAGGACACGAGCTCTCCCCAGTTCATCCTGGAAAAAATACGGAAGCTCCCAGGCAGAGGAACGGGCAGATAGATCCCTTTTACTGTCGGGAACTGTGTAAGAAGGAGACAGGTGACATCTGCTTCCCCTTAGTCTTTCAACCCCTACTCCTCTTTTCCTTCGCTAGCCCGCGTTTGTCTTCCTGCCCAGCCCTCGGGCCGTCCGATCTCATTTACGGGGGCTACCGCCAGATCCGCAGACAGCTGTAGTTTCTTGGCCGCGGGTTTCGGCGTTGGGCCGCTGCGTGGCGGAGCGGCGGCGGCAGCGCAGCACAGCAGCACCTTTGACGTGCCCGTTCCCCACGTGACGGCCGCTCCATTGCGGGGCGGGCGCTGAGCTGCCGCCGCTCCGCCAGAGCGGGGAGAGCCGCAGCCGCAGCGTGTGTGCGTGCGCGCGTGTGTGTGATGAGCGATCGCCGCGTCCCTCCGCCCGCCGCCGGCTGACACCCCCAGCGCCGGGCGCGCCAGGAGCAGCGGCAGGAGGAGCCGAGGAGCCGCGGCCACCCCGCACTGACCTTGGCCCGGGAGGTAACCGAGCTCCGCGCCCTCCCCGCGGCCGTGCCGAGACCTCTCAGGCGCCGCTGCCGCTGTCCGCGGTGCTGAAAGCGCCGAGCCGCTCTGCCCGCAGGGCTCCCCTGGCCCTTTGCCGCTGGGAGGTGCGGGCACGGCGGGGCAGGCGCCGGGCGGGGCGTGCCGAGGGCGAGATGCGGCTCAGCCCCCATCGGGAGGTCTGGGGAAGGGTTCGGGGGGGCTCCGGGAGGAGATGCTTGGGGCAGAGCTTAGTCCGCCCCGCTCTCCGCAGCCTCCGGTGCCGTCTGTAGATGGAGCACATTCTTACACCTGCGTGCAAAGCCGGAGCTACAGCAGGAGCTGAGCGCTCAGTGCGGCTCCCGGGTGAGCGTGGGGGGGGGGGGGAGGGAGGAGCCGGGGCTGGCGGCTCAGACGAGGCTTTGCGGTGAACTCCGATGAAAGTAGCTGAAAGCAAGCGGGAGCGCGTTGTCTTGTTTTTGTTTGGTGCCGAGAGAAGTTTTTAAGGAGGCTGTTCTTCTCACCGTGTGTTTGAGGGTTGTGGAAGTTGCTTTTCTTCGAGCGGTGAGATTAAGGCAGACCTGAACACAAAGTCTTGGGCCCTGTCAGTTCTTCCCCCCCCCCCCCCCCCCCCCTCCCCAAACTCCGGTCAGGAGGGTGCTGAGCATCCCTGGTTGGAAGTGCATATCAGGAGGGAACGCGTGGGGCGAGGCTCCTCATGATGTGGTGGTTAGTGAGATGTCAGGGAGCTATTTGGAGCGACAATTCATTAATGTCTGAATTAGATTAACATGTTACATTCATTATTTACAGGCAAAAGAGAGTAGTGACAGTAAATGCTGAATTAGCTTCAATGTAAATATCTGTAGCAAAGTTTAGAGCATACACTGAATCTAATAACATCTTGGTATAAAGTCACATCCATTAATCATCAAGGAGGGAAGGAGACCTGAGGAAGTGTCTTACTGAGACCACTTGTACCTTTTACAGCGCACCAAAAGAGGATCAAATCTGTGGGACATGGCACAAGGAAATAATTATGGGCAAAGCAGCAATGGGGTGGCTGATGAATCCCCAAACATGCTGGTGTACAGAAAGGTAAGCTTTGTTTTATGAAATCTGAAGAAGGTGCTTCAGGAAATGGTGACGTCCTGGACTCTTTTGCTTAGCAAGTGAGACCATTGTTTTTACTGTTTCTCTCCACCTTCCTGAAGAGAAGCTACTGCTCTGCTTTGCCATGAATGGAGCAGTGTGATTTCAGGATGCAGTCATCTGATATGGATTTGGAATGTTTTTGCTGCTGACGTTTATGCTACCTAAGGCAGATCAAATGGCTTGTGAGAACTAGGTCTATATCTCAGGAACTGCTAATGACTCTTCTTTATGAAGTGACTAGATTTCTTGTTTTGAACAGCAAGTTATATGTGCCTCAACTTTGCATCATGTTCAGAAACCGTTTAGAATTTGAAATCTTCATGTATTTACTTCATTTTATGCATTGAAACATATGGCATGTGATGGTGGTGATGTGTCAGAGTCTGGAAAATGTTGTGGGTTCAAGTATTCACTCGCAAAATCTAGTAGTAAAATGAATGCATGTATTATACTTATCTGCAGTCACCAGAACATAAAACCAGAAAAATTGAAACAAAACACAACATGACAACACAAACATACACTCTGGGGATTCTCTCTGGAAAGCATTTCTAATGTAGTTATTCTAATGCCATCAATACACAAATTTCCAGATCCTGAGCTCCAACAGTGCAGTTTATATAGCTTCTACACTTTCATTTTTGTTAAAGTAGGTGCTTGGGGATTTTGTGATGGGTTGATACATTATTACTTTTCTTTATTTTAAACTTGACAATTGTGTTTATTATCATGGTTTTTTTTATTCACTGGGAGAGTGACACACTTTCATAATGCAGAGGAATAGCTGTTCTTGCAAATTGAAATATGTAATTACACAACTACTTGTTTATTCCTAGAATACAGTGCTTTCTAACTTGTTTGTGGTTGTTTCTGTCAGGTGGAAAAATCAATGCTTTTTTTCTTAGAGCCTTCAACTTTTTGCAATTTAACTGTAATACAAAATATCTGATACATATTCAGATAAATTTTTGAGGTGAACTGAGGTATCGCTGGTAACTGTGATGTTTTTTCCTCAGAAATTATAAAATAGTTTCAAAATGAAGACTGTTACATACTCTATTTTTTCATTCTTATTTTCAAATATGTTGCTGATTTCAGTGAGGTTTCAATGGTATTTTCCATGATTTGCCATTTTGGAAAATTATGCTTTTACACAAATGAGATTTATGAACTTAATCTTAGTTATACATGCGTGTAAGAATAGACAGCTGGAAAAAATACAGTGTACCTCATCACTAACTTCACAAGTGTGTTTCAAAATGAAATAATGTGCATGAATTTATATGTAAAAAACATGCTGTGCAGATATAAAGCAATATAGCGAAACTTATTGTCCTTTATAGGCTTCTGATGTTTTTGAACATTACCTTTTCATATTTGACATGTACTTCTATGCTGAAAAAATGCCTATTTAGTAGATAGGGGAGGAAAAACCAGAGAAACAGTTTGTCTTCTCCAGTGGTGTGTATGTCTGAGTAGCGGGCTGAGCTTATTATCCATTATATTTAGTCTGACCTTATGCCACAATTTAACAATGCCCCTGAGCAGCCTCCAGATTAAAAGGAAAGTTCTGAGGCAAATGACCAAAGTGTTGGTGATGCAGGGAAAACTTGAAAATGAGGAGTGGAAATAGGACCTAAGGCCTCATGTAGTCACTCAGTGTCAAATACCTTTTCAGTAAATCAAAGGCATGGGGATGGTATCAATTTGTGTCATCTCCAGTATAACAGTGGTTCTTCTCTTAATGGCAAAGTGCAAATGGTGTACTGAGTATTAAACTTTCACAAATACTTACCTTCTACAATATTATCTGCCATATTTATTTTTATACACTTCAACATATATATATATATATATATATATATATTTTTTTTTTTTGGCGTAGTAAATCAAAAGGGTCATTTAAGATGGTTAGCGTACAAAGAGTATGAACTAAGTAGTCCTTCCTTTGTGAGAATTCAAGAAATAGGCAACAAAATAATAGATAACCTTTACAAAAATCACCTACCTTTTTCTGTAATAAGATATTGGTGTAGGTGAATGTTTTATAAGTTCTGTCTAGAGCATAAGAGAAGGATAGGTAGAAGTCATTTCAATTCAGAACATATAATCTCTGAATATCATTCTTTAATAGCAACAACTAAATCATGGGATTCCTTGTAATACATTAGAAAACACAATACGTCTGTCATAGTGTTGGAAATGAAAGTGTTGTGCAGAGTGAACAAGGAACTAGATTTGCTGGCTTCATGAAAACTCTTTTTTTTTTTTTCTTTGGCCAACTGAAAAAGTATTAATAGTTGTTAGAAAAGAAAAAAATAAGTGCTGTTGGCTGGCTTCAGAAGGAAACTAACGCTACTGAAATACACAAATGCTGGAATATTTTCTTGCTGAAGATTATACAGCGTCAACACAGGGATTAGCACAAGTTTTGTGATGTGTGTGTCTGCAAGGACTAGGTGAGATACCTTTCTTGTGATAATGAAGAACTGAAATTTGGCCATGATAAATAAAGACAATGCCTTTGGCTATAAAACATGACTTAGTAGTTTTGGTTATTCTTTTAGTTTAACTCCCAGATGCTATCTGAACTAAATACAACCTAAGCTCTGTGTAGTTTCAGACTTGGATTTCCTAAATCCTCATTCTGTCAGGAGTATTTTATAGAAAATGTAAAGCCTGCTCTTTACGGAATGACATTTTGGTGTTTGAAAATTAAGTATTTAAAGCTTTGAATTGTTATAGAGTTATTATTGCACTTTAAGTACATAGAAAAGTATTGACATGTAGGCTCATTTTTTTGTTATTATTATTATTATTATTATTATTATTATTTTTTTTTTTTTTTAATGTTTTTAGTTTGTCTTTGGTTTGTGATTAGTTACTCATCTGGGAGATTGAAGAAACACAGGTTATTGAAATGCAGGATAGAATATTAAGAGTAGACAGCATGTTATAGTTGCCTGTATTCTCAGAGAAAGAAGAGTTTCATTGCATTCTGCTTTCAAAAATGAAATATATTTTATGCTGAATTTTTGAATTAAATATTCTGTGCATGTCTAATTCTGAATGCTTATTTGACTCTGATAGAAAGGGTAGTAACAAACATAAATAGCTCCTTATATCATTTTTATCCTGACTCTTAAGATGCTTGTATGTCAGCGCTTTTATGCCTTGGGGAATACTTTTTATTTTAATAGAATGTCAGTTGCATTATTCTATTTGGCTATCAGCCTAATTATAAAGTAATGACATGTGACACATCATTAATACTGACATACCTTGGAAAAAGTCCCGATTTTTTTCTGCCAGTAGCCTGAGGCCAACATGAAAAATTTAAAACTCCTGCTTTTACTTCCCCTCCAACAGAGTCCATTTCAGTCAGCACTTAAAAGACATAAGACATTAGAATGCTTGCTCTTTGCTCATACAGGAATCTTAGATTTCAGCAACACTAATTTAAGGCTGGAAGTTGAGTCTTAAAGACAATACTTCAAATGTAAATGAGGTTTATAATGTGCAGTTTTCCCTAGTTTCAGAGCTTAACTTATCCTGTTTCATCTTCTGTGTGCCACAGATAATTAAATAAGTAGAAGTTGTATTTTGAAGAACCTCATTACAGACATACTGCTGGTCCTTCTAAACCTTTGTTTATCTTTCTGTTCTTACTTTTCTTAGTCAAGTATAGGCTGAAAGGATTAAGAGTTCTAATTTGGGAAGTTGATGGTTATTACATTGCTGTCTGAACTAGCTTCATTTGAGAGGTGATAGCCTTATTTTGTAAGGTTGCCCTAGTCTGAGTTCTTGTGATTGAGACTTGGATTCTCTGCTTTCCTCATTGCCCCACATGTTAAGAGCTTTTGCCAAAGCTGATTAGAATTAGTAACAGTTGATGCTTCCAGTATTGTAATGAAGCTACAGAGGTGTTCTTTTGTGTCAATTGTTGAAGGTCATATGCCAGTGCCCCTGTACTGAAAATGCTAAATTTGTGATCTCAGGTACTTCTTAGTTTACCGTCTTCTGATATTCCTGCTAGAAGCTAAGCTTCCCAGGTGTGATGCTTTAAAAATCTTGTTGTAAAAGAGCATTAGAACACTGTTACCAACTTCTAGTAACCATTGTCTTCTGCTTGTACGAGAGATGACTTCCAATGTTGACTGCATATAATGTGATGCTCTCATGTGGCTTTTATCAGGTGTTCATTTGAAGATTGTTAGAAAAAAAATTATGAGAACTGTATTCCCTAGAGCCTATGAGATCAAGGAAGGACGTAGTAGGTGGGATTTTTTTAAGTGCTGTCACTCAGTTTGATAAGAGAAGAATTGCGCTGATGCACCGTGTTTCTGAATATGCTGTCGCAACCTATGGTTGCATCTTGCTTCCAGTGAAAACTGCAGAGTTTGCTACTACTGTGTTGTAAGTGCAAATGCCAGGGCAGACTAAAGGATGTGAAAAGTAGTTTAATTAAAAGTAGTTGAATATACACAAAATGTAGTTTCTTCTGAGAAGAGTAGTGGTATTGCTGCAGTTAGTGTATGCTGTAGATGCTGCTTTTGGTTTCATTCTGATTCTCCTAGGTACAGAGTTGACTTTGATATATCCACATCTATGGACCTCGGGAATTCCAATTGTAAAAATAGCATTTTCCTCCCTATTCAGCGTGAACATCATGGGGATGTTGTCATGTTGTTCTGGAGTGGTTGGTTGCTGTTAAAGTAAAATAGGTGGTATGTAGGGGGCATGAACTTGGGCAGTATATTTACTAGATTCTGTGGAGTGCCTTTCATGTGGTGAGACTACATTTTGTGTTATGGTCTCATCTCTCTTCATACTAATTTTTTCCATTGTATCTTCCTGCTGTGCCACCTGAGGCTCTATCCCATCCTGGGATGCTTACTGTCAATGCTAGCTAGAGCATATATGCTTTGGCATCATTTGTGATA